TCATTAGATTTCAACGGACACCTTTGTTTAATATATTTACTTTAAAAAGGACTTTTAATTTTACCGGTCTGGAAAACATACGAATCATTTTTAATGGCTATGGGTGTAGTAACATTCAGCCAAAGACTGATCGAAGTTGTTTATTTAACGTAAAAACAAATCTATTTTGTAAAGATCGATAAAATAAATCACATTTTTTATTACACTGTGGTATTAATATCAACAACTTTACTATCATTTTCACTACATGCAAATGTGCTCAGACAATTATTATAGATGGTAGGCGACATCATAAAGTCTATTGCCATACATTTTTCGCCAAACACCTCCATAAATACATTATAATCTGTATATATGTTAGACTTAAAGGTATCTATCTATGGGCCTACGTGGCCTGACTTTAATTAATAAATAAATAAAATTATAAGGTGTGATACACTAAAAATCTTAAATATGGTTATATTTAAAACATAACAAAAATAATGAATGTACTGAACATATGGCTATATAACCTAAATCTCTTAGCTTCCTTTGGTTAACGAGAGTTTAAAAATTCTCTCTAATCTGTGGCTCATTCACAATCATCAAACAGTTTCTGTCACAAAGTACTTTATTATAACCGGAAATGCATAGATGACACCTGATTTTAAAAGTTACTCTTATGCATTAACTTTAAAAACTGGCAACTATCTGTTAATCTACATGCTCTATATACCTGAATCTAATCCATAATTTCGGTACTTGGCTTGATTTCCCTAGTTTACTATATAACTTATTTGTTTTTTATTATTTTAATATGTTCAGTGTATATGGTTTATAGAAGTTCTCAGGGGTGTCCGTCAATAATATTCGTTTCTACAGTAATTTATACATAATTTCGAATTTAGGAAACAATTTTTCATGATTATTGGTCTTTAGGCCAATCATGTATGGAAGCTGAGCAATCTCCTTACTTTATTAAAAAAATGCATTTTCATTTGTAACAGAACTTATGGCCAGATTCGTTATATAAATCTAGTCTTGTGATGCTAGTGACGCATTTCCGTTTCATCTTCCATGGGGTTTTTCCATTTACACCCCGTCCAAAAAGAAGTTTCACCTCGAAAAGATAACGACGAAACGAAACATCCTGTAACCTTAGTACGAGTTTGAGCTCACGAAAACTATCATAGTTTTCGAATTGAAAATTATGTTTTTATGTCCATTTTGGTGAAAAGTAGGCAATCAAATATACTTAAAATTTATGAAGACGCAAATGTTTAATGATAGAATATAAACACTGTTTATTTGTATTGAAACAAAAACAATAAAATCAGTACCCTTAGTACGAGAGCGAGCTCGCGAAAACTATCATAGTTTTCGAATTGTACTTAAATTATGTTTTATGTCCATTTTGGTGAAAAATAATCAAATATACTTAAAATTTATGAAAACGCAATGGTTTAATGATAGAATATAAACACTGTTTATTTGTATTGAAACGAAAACAATAAAATCAGTACCCTTAGTACGAGTGCGAGCTCACGAAAACTATCATAGTTTTCGTAATTCTAAAACTCGTACTAAGGGTACTGGAAACGTTTTCGGAAATCCGTTAGAAACCTTAGATTAAAACAAAAAGGGTAGATACGGCACTAGCCTTACAAAAGTGATCCGCACCAATTGTGGTCCACGACCCTAATCGCTTTAGTCAAAACTTGACATGCAAACGACGTACATGTGAACGCCAAAAAGAAATATTGCTAATATTTTGTGTTTAGGTATATGATAAAACAATGCCTAAGTGTGTTTTTAAAAAGTGCTCAAATTGCTCAAGAACTTAAAATAAAACCTACGGCATCACTTTTCATTCGTAAGTACTATAAAATATATTTTTTCATATAAATTGCTGTTTGTTTTGAATCTTATTCGGTAGTGTCGACGAGTACTGGTCGCGTGATTGGTCGGTAGTGCAGTGACGCGGTTCTCGCCGTCCCGTTCGCGCTGCCTTGGGATCAGTTTTTGTTTGATGCAAGTATGAGCGTACCGTATCTACCCTTTTTGTTTTAATCAAAGTTAGAAACGTCTATAATTTGTTGACCGCCATTTCTCAGTACCAGGTGAGTGCGTACTCCACATACCAGATACCTGTACTTGTCATTGGCCATATTATGTTGTTATCACGGCGGCGTGTCATTCATCACGGAGTCCACCTTCTTTAATTAGCCCGCGACTGACCGCGGCTCAGCTGTTATCAATGGGAGGGGAGGGCGGACCCACCCACGCGAAGTTAGGGCTGCTGCTCGCTTGTTAAATTAAAGAACATATACATATATGTATGACGACGTATGGACATATATGTGTATACTAGCTGACCCAGCGAACTTCGTACCGCCCTAAAAAAATAGGGGTTGTCCAGCGGACAAAATTGTGAATCTAAACCATTCTCAGATCCCCTTGAACACACACAAAAAATTTCATTAAAATCGGTCCAGTCGTTTAAGAGAAGTTCAGTGACATACACACTCACAGAAGAATTATATATATAAAGATGTATGTATGACGACCTCCGTGGCCGAGTGGTTTATACGCCGGGTTTCATGGTGTCGTCGACTCGAGAGGTCCCGGTTTCGAATCCCGGTGGGAGCAGATGTTTGTGTGATGAATTAAAAAATGAAAGAGCATATGTACTCCAGTCATGGATGTTTAATATGTATTGTTATATAAATATACTTATATATGTACAGTATATGTATTTTATCCGTTACCCTAGTATCCTATAACACAAGCCTTATAGTGTTTACTTTGGGGCTAGGCTAATTGGTGTGTGTTGGAAATATCAATTTATTTATTTATACAAATACCTATATACCCCTTTTGAATGACAATGTCATTTGAAAGATATGAAAAAAACACGGCGTAAATAATCTAAGGCCCGTATTACAGTATGACAACTAAGTGTCGATCTCTACTTGAGTACAGTTAGAAAGGGATGCCGCTATGTGCTATATATAGCGACATCCCTTTCTAACTATGCTCAAGACTAGATCAATCACTGAGAATCTTTCTTTAATACGGGCCTTAGTTTCTTATTCCTTGTTTATTAATAAGGGAGATAGGGTAGATTATATAATGAATGGCTCTTTACGCGGGATTCCTCATTTGTTTGTTAGTAAATTCATTATTCGCTATTGAATAAATATGGGTCCACTATATACAATAAACAGCGGCAAGCCCTCGCTTCGGTGTAGAGCTGAAGTGTAGACTACAGTTTTTGTTCTCAGGCTTGTAGGTATTTTACACAATGACATTGATCTATGATTCTTCTTATACCTGCATGCAAAGTATCAGCCCGATCGCTTTAAAATTGACAAAGTTTCACACAAACTTTCATTCCCTATTTTATTCCCTTGGCGGTAGAATTGATCAAAATCCTTTCTTAGCGGATGCCTACGTCATAACATCTACCTGCATGCCAAATTTCAGCCCGATCCGTCCAGTGGTTTGGGCTGTGCCTTGATAGATCACTATGTCAGTCAGTCAGTCACCTTTGAGTTTTATATATTTAGATAGATAGGGGTTCATTATCAAAATTAAACAACTTTAAAATGCTCATAATTAAGAAAAGCAAAGTCGTTTATATGCCAATTTCAACTGTCCTGCTTAAAAATGAACTTTAAATAGAAACTGAAAAAGTATTGATTAATAAGCAACACCAAAGTGGTGGTTAAACTATTTTTTCCACTGTGGATATATACAATGTGATAATATATAGACAGGTTATACGCCAACATTATTGCATTTTATAATGGCACTAGTTAAAGTAGTCTCTTTTACTCTCATGAAAAAAGCAGATTACATCTCGCCTTTTTAGCCGTCCCGCCCTCACGTGTCAACGTTGTAATCACAAAATATTTTTACAAGCTTTTATTTAACTTGCTATGTATGTTTGTTACGGTCAAATCTTACAACTCAATTTTAAAGCACTTGCCCTCAACCGATTAAGCTGAAATTTGGTATGCTCGTTCAGTTCGGATGACAATGTTTAACAGTGTGACGTCATTCTAAATCCAATATGGCGGCATACCCAAAATGGCGGACCAATCATTTTTAATGCATTCCTACAATATGGGTATCAAATTAAAGGGCTTGCTGAGAGTAACTCGAAAAAAATGTGACGTCACTCTCAATCCAATATGGCGGACTTCTAAAATTTGAAAATCTATTTAGAAACAAACTTTAACTAAAATTTCTTTTTTTCTTTTTAGAGCATTTGAATAAAAGCTTGTTTTTAAAAAGGTTTTTGTACCTTAATTTTATTATATTAATTTCTTTAAAATTGTACTTACGAATAAAATTACACGGTTTTCTTGTCTGTTATAGTTTTCCATCCATTGCCAATTCGGCTTCTGATAGGCGCCTCTTCTCAATGGCCCATAATGGCCGCATAGAAAAGTGGTAGTGAAAAAAGTAATGCAGAATTGGCTCAGTGCGGAATGGGCACAGAGAGGAATGAGCCTAGTGCGGAATGGGCCCAGTTCAGAATGGGTCCAATAAGGATTGGGCCTAGTGGCCTCCCCTTTGTCATTATTGCCCAAAAGAACTTCCATACAACTTTGGCACCCATTGGCTATAATTTACACAAGCGTTCCCGACTGAATGCAGGTCAGGCAATTACCTGACTGCCAACTATAAAATATCATACGTAGTGAAAAATTGCATTAACTAATTTTACAATCAACATAAAAAGTTTCTATGTATAGTCATTTACATAGGTATTTATTACAGATTATAGCAAAGAATGGCATAGCAAAATTTTCATGTTTTGTTGAATTAATGAAAATGTAAGTATTTCTGTAATGCCTAAGCATAACTTAATGCGAAGCTTCTTTTTAGTAACTAGATAAATAATACAAGGGAATTTACATTTCCCCCTGTTGAATCGCCATCCCTAACCAATGGGGTGGAGGGTGGTACCCCACCCCCGGAATATAAAGCATGGACAGCATCTCCGAACGCACTCCATGTCGAGACACCGGCGGAGACCAATCACGTAAGTCAATCTATGTATATAGAATATGAGGACTTGGGGGCCATTCGCCTAACGGAAATGCTTTGGAAAACGCTAACGCTTACGATTTCATTTTGTTATTTCTAGCCGCCTGAGGTTTTCAAATGCCTCGCGCTCTTTTTTTTCTTTTGCATTGGTAATAATTATAATATTAAAAAAAAGAGGTATTTGAAAACCTTCTGCGGTCAGATATAAAAAATAAAATCGAAAGCCTTAGCGTTTTCCAAAACATTTCCTTTAGGCGAATGACCTAAACTGTTTTTTACAGTCCGGAGGTTTCGGGACGCTGAATTTGAATTTTAAATAATTTTCAATCAAAATCGCCTAAAACATGTGTCAAAATTACTAAATTTATAAATTGAAAACCACGCCAAAACCTCACTGGAGGTATGTCATTCAGTTTTATAAAGCTGTTGTAAAATTTAATTTTATGTAATTATGTACTTATAACGTTTTGTTCGCCAGCTCATCGATATTTAATTTTCTCGAATTTACAAAAAACTAGGTAGGTACTTCTTAGTGTGCGTCTTGGGCTTGGCACATTAAATGGCTTTTAGTAAGTTAAATAAAACTAGTTTTAACGGGTTAATGCACGAAACTTTATTTATTTATTGACGTTTCGCAGCCTTTTCATGTCTGCTTCGTCAGAATAATGTTTTTATATTATTTCAAAACGTCAATAAATAAATAAAGTTTCGTGCATTAACCCGTTAAAACTAGTTTTATTTAATGAGTGATGTGCGTGAAAACCTAAGAAACAAATATTTTAGTAAATTCTATATACCTAGTATCTAATTTACAAAAAACAATGGTGTTGTTTTTTAAAACCCCGATGCAAGTAACACTTTTAAAAGTATTTTATAACTGCTCATATTTTTATACTTAATTGATTATACCCTGGCTTATAATTATTATACCTAATATTTAATGACTAATACTTAATGGAGCACTGTTTGTATTTATACTGTACTAGCGGCCCGCCCTCGCTTCGCTTCGGTGTAGACTACAGTTTATATTCTCAGGCTAGTATTATACACAATGACATTCATCTATGATTCTTCTTATACCTGCATGCAAAGTCTCAGCCGGATCGGTTTAAAATTGACAAAGTTTCATACAAACTTTCATTCCCTATTTTATCCCCTTGGGGGTAGAATTGATCAAAATCCTTTCTTAGCGGATGCCTACGTCATAACATCTACCTGCATGCCAAATTTCAGCCCGATCCGTCCAGTGGTTTGGGCTGTGCGTTGATAGATCACTATGTCAGTCAGTTACCTTTGAGTTTTATATGTATAGACTAGCTTTTGCCCGCGACTTCATCCGCGTTATCGTCGTTTTTCGTAAAAAAGTAGCATATGTCCTTCCTCAGGGTTCCGTGGTTTTGATGTGACAGACAGATTAACTTTCGTATTTTAGTAGGGAAATATAATACTGTTAAAAATATCGCAATAAGGAACCGCAGAATATTATTATTATCACTGTGCCCCGAGACCATCAGCGTGTAACTCCTTGTATGTTATTATGTTAATGTATTGGTAATATTGTTTAGATCGCTTTCACATGAGTCTTAAGTACATATAGAATGAAAATACTTCAGCGCAAAGCTTCCGGGTAGACTACGTTGAAATTTGTCCCGTCCGGAACGTGAACATAAAAAATTCTAGGACTGCTAACCCGGGAAAGACCGACATAACTGACCATGTGAAAAACAACTGACACCGAGATCTACTGGTCTGAAAGGTCTGCCCTTGAGCCTTATTTATTGTCATTGCTTAACACACCGATACTGGGAATTGCGTTCTTTTAAATTGGAATGGAAAATTATTTGGTATTATGGGAATTCTGGGAATAAAGATGGTTTCTCCTGCACCGCAACCTATTAAAATTTGAGCCTCGATTACATTTTGTTGCAACTGGGTTACTTTAAGCCGAGTTCCATTGCAAATTTGTGGTGGTCTTAAATTTCGGAGCAGAATAATCGGAATGCCAATTTTTAAACAAATTTCATGAGAAGGAAGTACGGGCATATTTAAAGAATTTAAAAATTCTATCGGGTAATTAGTGGCTTCTTGTACATCGGCCATTCTATTTATTGAACTATAAACTTTGCTTTCCCCCTGGATATTCAACAGTATTTTATTATTAATCTCAGATGCCTGGTCATTGCGAGGAGTTAAAATGGACCTTTCGCATAGCCAAGAATTGTTCTTATTTAATATATTTGTTACGTCACCGTAAACTGACGATGTAAGATGTTGTTGGGATTGCACTATACAACATAACTCAGGCGTCAGAATAAGTTTTCCTTGGTGTAGCAGTGGATAGGTATCTTTGGTGAAGGTATTTTCTTTAATAATATATCAGAAAATTCACGATCATCCGGGTTATCTACAGTTCTCACTCGCATGTTTATAGTCAAATGCACCGATTGTATATCACGCCACAAATAAGAGCTTTTCAGGCAAGCCCTAACCTCAGCAGCTCGGGTTCCCCGTGGTATTACCGTTAAGGTTTGTCGGAAATCACCACAAAATAAAACTGTGATACCACCCTATCATTTTGTCTTATATCTCTTAAAGTTCTGTCTACCGCTTCTACTGCTTTTGGATGGGCCATCGTACATTCATCCTATATGATTAAATTACACTTTGAACGAATATTTTTAACGAATACTTTAGCTACCTTACACATAAAATCTAAGTGACTATTTGAACTAAAATATTCTTATAGAATTATAACCAGAAATATATACAACTCACAACAAAAAAGAAATGAAAATAAAGCTGAAACGCGTGTGCAATACTATCTACCAATACCTCCTTCACTTAAAAATAAATACTTATAACTACTTTAATTAATAAAAGTACCTACGCTTAATAATTTTTAATTTGAACGAATATTTAAACACTACCAAAACAACTAATACCTGTTTTACAAAATAACAACAAAAGAAATTCAAATAAACTATTTAAAGACTAAAAGTCGCGCTGATAAGCACGGTTTCGGTCTCCCAGGCGGGGGAGCAGATGAGAAATCCTCATGGATACCCTACAGCCGGCTGCAAGGTTATGTCAGACTCGTGCTGACTAAAAAACACCCGTAGGGGCTGCCTCTGGCCGGGAAGGCCTCTAAGGCTTCATCGGAAGCGATCGTCCCCCAGGGGGGGAGAGACGCAGAAAACAGATTTAGACAGCTCGCTCTCGGACCTTTGATACCCTACCGCTGCCGCGACCCGTGTTGAACGCGGCAACCATTACACAAAAATAATCCTTATAGCATGATTCAGTATTCACGTGCGACGGCGCGATGGCTTATTTCATGTATAAGTTTGGTGTTTCTATACCGAGTATTATAAACGTAAGAGTAAACAAATATGATCAGAATGCTCCGAACTGCTAAGCTATCGGGAGTTACACGTGTTATTGTGAGTCAACCATAAAAGATAGATATATGCTGTTGCGGGATATTTTTTAGACAATTTTATGTAGAATATTTCCGTCATACATGATTTCTATATAACTTTAACCATTAAGGCTGCACACGCGACGGAAGCTTAAAAAATGGAGTAACTTCTCCCGTTTTCCCAACATTTCCCTTCACTACTCTGCTCCTATTGATTGTAGCGTGATGAAAAGTATACTATAACCTGCCCAGGAGTATGAAGAATAATTGTACCAAGTTTCGTTAAAATCCGTCGAGTAGTTTTTGTTTCTATAAGGAACATACAGACAGACAGACAGACAAAAAATTTACTGATTGCATTTTTGGCATCAGTATCGATCACTAATCACCCCCTGATAGTTATTTTAAAAATATATTTCATGTACAGAATTGACATTTCTACAGATTTATTATAAGTATAGATAAGCACGGTTTCTCAATATCAATTATTTTCTGTCAATAAGGTCGAACGCTCTGAACGCATCGACAGCCAAATATTGAATGAAGCTCGCTTTCTTTTTTTTTTGTTTCTTCCCAGGCGGGGGAGGGGGTGTGAAATCCTCATGGATACCCTACAGCCGGCTGTAGAGTTATGTCAGACTCTTACTGACTAAAACACACCCGTGGGGGGTGCCTATGGCCTTAGGGGCCTTACAGGTTTCATCTGATGCGATCAACCCCTGAGAAGGGGATGATGCAGCGCTGCCTTAGTAAATACTACTGCATAGTGCGCTTAGAGGACGGATGCACCCTGATGTGCATCCGTATCGGTTTGGGACTGAGTGGCTGAAGGTCTCTCAGGATCGGGGGGGCGGGGAAGCTCGCTTTCGGACCCCCCGCCTTTTTATACCTTACCGCGCCGCCACGACCCGTGTCGAGCGCGGCAGCCGTTACACAAAAATAATCCTTAAAGCATGATTCAGTATTCACGTGCGACGGCGCGATGGCTTATTTCATGTATAAGTTTGGTGTTTCTATACCGATTTCTATGATTCTTTTTTTATTGAATAGGTAATAATGTTAACTTTTTTAAATTAGGGATGAGTGAGAGTATTATAAACGTAAGAGTAAACAAATATAATCAGAATGCTCCGAACTGCTAAGCTATCAGGAGTTACACGTGTTATTGTGAGTCAACCATAAAAGATAGATATATGCTGTTGCGGGATATTTTTTAGACAATTTTATGTAGAATATTTCCGTCATACATGATTTCTATATAACTTTAACCATTAAGGCTCCACACGCGACGGAAGCTTAAAAAATGGAGTAACTTCTCCCGTTTTCCCAACATTTCCCTTCACTACTCTGCTCCTATTGATTGTAGCGTGATGAAAAGTATACTATAACCTGCCCAGGAGTATGAAGAATAATTGTACCAAGTTTCGTTAAAATCCGTCGAGTAGTTTTTGTTTCTATAAGGAACAAACACACAGACAGACAGACAGACAGACAAAAATTTTACTGATTGCACTTTTGGCATCAGTATCGATCACTTATCACCCCCTGATAGTTATTTTGAAAATATATTTCATGTA